ATTTTCACGTTTCAGGACTAATGAGTTGTTAAATTGGCTAAAGACATCTTTTTTTTTTTTTTAATATCTACAGCTTTTTCTTCTAGTAAACCCATGACACAACAGCACCTGTGCTGAGATTTGCAGATCAGTTAAGCCAGTTGTACCATTCTGGGTCTTAAGTAAAACCAGCCCCAAAAGAAGATTTAGAAACAGCAGCAACATCAGAATGAGCTGAGGCAGTTCTGCCCCATGGCTTAGAATCTGCTTGTGGCAAACAAATCACTGAATGTTGCTCCTGAAAAGGTCTTCGTAGAGGAGAATTTTCTCTGAAATGCAGTGTCATCATATAAATTGAGTAATTGAGCCCTGACAGTTCTTTTCTCTATGAATATATGACCAATGCTTTTGATCTTTATACAAAAGAAGTCAGATTGTCTCACTAGAATTTCCATGTCTTAAAAAAACTACTCAAATTGGAGATCTTCTCCTCTTACTCCTTTCTGGAGGAAACACCTTTGCATGTCAGGTAAACGTTATTCCTCAGATTCAGATACCTCGCTGTCATTCACTTGCAGAATTCTTCTCAGAATTTCTTCTTATTCTTTCCTAAGAGAGAATTCTTTTTCATTTTTTTTTCATTCTACTTCTATAGTCAAATTTGAGCAAGATAAAATTACTACATAATTCTTTGTGAACCAGAAAGATGTCAAATGCATTCCATTTAGTATTATTTTTCTGTACCGTGAAGGATTGTTGCTGTGGCTTTTTGGGCTGGAGTCTGTGCCGCTGTTCACAGAATCACAGAAATGCTGGCTGGAAGGGAGCTCTGGAGGTCATCTAGTCCAGCCCGCCACCATTGAGCCCGCTAACAAGACACTTACCCACGTAAGACACCTGGGTCCTACTGCTGAGGCTTTGGGTGCCAGGTCTTACAGCTCCCATAGCACCCTGCCCGTTGCAGTGCTTGCCAGAGGAGCGGGTTGTTGAGGTGGGCAGGCAAAAGGCCAGGCTGAGCTGTGGCTACACTGATAACGAAACTCCATGAGAAATTCCAAGGTGTTCCAGCTAGCCAGAGGGGAGTAACGTGTGAGCGGCTGGCCAACCCTGACCACTGACTGTACTAACAAATAGCAACATGAGGAATGGGAGAAACAAGAAATACTGTCTATAGGAAAATGAAGGGTATGAGCTTAATGGAATTACTGAAAAAGGGAGAAATTACTGGGGTATCCGTATCACAAAAAACAAAGAAGAGAATCATGATAGCAAGACCAGGGCCAACAGGGCAAGAACAAACAGGGAGGTTGTTTATTTGGGAGATGAGGGTGACAAAAATGAATAACTTGGAAGGGAGGAAAAAGAATATAAACAGTAGTATGCCATATGACTGGGGATGATGGAAGTTATCTGTCAGTCAATCAGCACCATTTGGAGTAGGGCAAACATTTTTGTTTTTTAATAATTTTGGGGGAAAAATTATGATGCTGGTGGAGGTTACTGTAAATGGAGAATTGCCCCTGATACAAAAAATTGCGAGAAGCACACATTGCAGAACTACAGTTTGGGATAAACAGTGTTTCAATGTGTTTTTATAACTAATGCATTAAAAAAAAGCCACTTTCTTATAGAGGTGCCCTCTATGGAATAACAAAGCAAACTGTAGTGTGGATTATTAGCAAAAGGATTGTTTCTCTGGCAGAATAATCTGTGAATTCAGCTTCTGCTGACTAAAGCAAGCTTCAGCAAAAGCACTTGAAAAGTACTTTCTTTCCTGATATCTGCTCTTCCAGTGAGCAAAGACAGGGTGTCTTGACTCCTTTAAGCAATGTAAGATAGAATTTTAGAAATGCTTACACAAATAGTGATATAATCTACGGCAGAGAGATGTACTGCAACAGAGACATTGACATTTCCCCGTTATGCTCCTTCTCAGGTCACTCAGCTTTCAAAAGGGTAGAGTAGGAACTTACAGAAAATCGTATGCAACTACATTAGCAACAGTTCTCACTTTTGTGCTTTCCATATGCAAAACTATCCTTTATGGGATATTAATTTGTTATTAAGTCATTTATCTTAGGGCAAAGCTGTATTTACAGAATGTAACATAAAGACAGTGTTGTAGCTTGGGATTTTAAAATGTCACTGCACATAACGCCAGGATAAACAGAACAGAAATGAACTTCAGTTGCTACATCTATCCTGATGCTTCCCAAATTAATTTTTTTGCACTGCCTTTTGACATTATTTTTCCTATCTACTGGCCTCCAACCAACCCCTATCTAAGCTCAATAAATATAAATAGTCAAATAAAAATGTTCTTCATAATCATTGGAATAACTAAATATTACTAAATATTACAGCTAATTCTGTGCCTAGCGGGGATTAAAGGGGAGAATTTTTATGGTATGGCAATGACCACTGTAGTTTGCCACTGTACAGACCACTGTAGTGGTTTCCTTCTCCTCTTTATTGCATTTATTTCAGTTGTAAATTGTTAAGGGGAAGTGCTTTCTGCAGGGCACTCCTTACTGGGGTGGCTGGTTGTAGCAGGAGGAGTATGTGCGACTAGTACAAACGAGGAGTAGCGTATAGGTCCTCAGCCCGTCCTCTGCAGTGCTGCGCCTGAACCTGTGGAAACGTTCCTCCCCTTCTCCCACCCCCACTGCTGTGAGAGTCTCTTCTTTTGAAGTTGTTTGGACCTTTTACCAAGAAAAGGTCAAGCCAAAATACAATTGTCCTAAAATAATCTTTACTTAGTATAATTTCCTAGACTCTTTGGAGAGAGACCTTGTTTTCCATTTCGAGCAATCTGTTTTCTGCAATAAAACACTGAATATGTCTCTCTGTTGCTATAGAAATAATATTGCATTAAATGAGAGAACCAGTGCCCTGCTGTCGACAAATCTAATGTAAGTGTTAGCCTCTAGAGCTTAAATTTCACCACTGGGAAGAGGTATACATAATTCTACACATTATTTCTGTAACTTGTGCATAAAAGTCTTTATACACTAAAACTGGTAGCTAAATTTCCCAAAGTGATAGAATATACATTTGCAGTGGTGTACTGTGTTTACATGTATCTTAATAAATCCTTCCCCTTGCCTTCTTCCTGTCCCCCATAGAGTATGTTTTCATATTTATAGTTTGAAATTTCTAGCTCTTTACATAGGAGTAAACATGGGGAGTGGCAGAGTAAAGAGTTTCCTCAGTTGGGTTCCCCGCCCCCACAGGCAACAAAGCACATCCCATTTATTTTTAGTTTTTAAAATGTATTTTTATAATATCCAGCTCATATTGAAACAAGGTATGGATCCTTTGCTCAAGGACTGGTTTTGGTTTCATGTAGGAAACCCCGTTTGTTTGTCCACGTAACGTGAGATGTTATTTGCCTTGTTTTTCTTGTAGTAGGAATAGCGGTATTTTCCAAAACTGGAAGGATGGCCTAAACTGACCAAGTTCCCGGTGCATTAATATATGCTCCAAACTGATCTGCTCTCCCCTACCTTCTCGAACCCACCTGCATGTTTGCCCAGTATTTCTCATGTTACTCAAAGATTTTCCTACGATGACTTTCTGCCCTGTAGAGTGGTTAAATTAGACACAAGAGAGCTGGAGATTTTCTTCTTTTGAATTTATGTACCACAACATATCAAATAGCACGCACATATATCAAATAGCATTTCACATTTAGACATAAATGTAAATATGGGATTTTTTTACTAGTATTTTTCTTATACTGTGTAGAATTTCAGCAACAGCAGTAAATTTCTATGATTATTAGTTTCAAATGAATGCTGTGATTCTTAACACTGTACCTACAGGGTATAGAAAAGGAATTGAAATCTTCCCTAATAACAGTTACTTAGGGTGAGTGTTTGTCAACATATTTATCCTCTACATTTTGAAGAAACATGGTGAAAAAGTCTTTTATCTCACAGTTATGTGACCAGATCCCCATTATACATTTTTATGTGTAATATATGTGTAGTTATAGAAATTGCAGATTTTAAAACACATGATAATTTGCATAGAGCTATATGCAAATGTAGGTTATAAATCTGATTTCAGAGTTCTTTTAAAAATCCTGTTATAATTTCGTGGTTTAAAAACTGCAGTTATTATTTGTGACATAGGCCCATGTTACTGTTGTTCTGTAGGGCAAAATACATTTTATTTTATAAATGGGCAAATTAGTTCATGAATAATAAACATACATTAGTGGCCTCTGTGCCACTCCTTATAAAGCTTGAAAAAATATCTCTATCATCCTTAGTATAACAGGTTTTTTTAATCTTTCTCAGTTTTTGGTGACTGTAAATTAATCTAGTGATTAATTATACCTCCCTAGAAAAAGAAATGTTTCTGACCAACAGAAGGGTATGCATGCTATTATAAAACTGAGATGGGGGGGAATTAGCAAAGTAGGCAATTACCCTTCTTAGAAATTAATGTCATATTCCTTATTAAAACAGGCTCATTGTATAGACAAGTCTCCATAAGACACTAATTACATTTTTGCTGTTAAAGTACTTCTGGTAATGAAAAATAGAACTTAATTCCTTTCCACAGACATAAAATATAAAACAGATGTTTCCATTGTTTTCTACCCTTGGGTAAAGCTGAAATACACCATCCAATGAGTCTGCATTTTTTTCACCAGATCGTCAGTTTATAGATGAAAAACATCAACCTGCTAAAGCTTTTGGGAGAAAATACTGACTGTTCACCCTTCTATCACCTGCTGCTATGCTACATGTTGGTTCCCATCCAGAGCCTTGTTTAATGAATGTTACTGAGAACAACTGGACAGGGAAGGAAAAGGAGAAGAGAGATGGAATTCATATGGTGCAAATACATCATATTAATGTGCAAATTTATTGATATTCCTGCAAATTATCATGTTCAAAAATCTAATGCTTAATATTTTCTTTCCGTACTGGTATTGCCGTAAACAAAACCAAGAAATTAGGGTAGAGCAAGAGAGCATAAACGCTAAAAAATGTGTTATTCTTTTATAGGAACTCAGTGGAGAAAGGACCAAGAGCAAGATCTGAAGAACGTCCTAAAGAACACTGACCAGGACATCCCGTTGGTATTTGTCAGCGGCAATCACGATATCGGCAATACTCCAACCAGAGAAACAATAGATACTTATTGCAAGAACTGGGGAGATGACTATTTCAGCTTTTGGGTTGGAGGTGTTTTCTTTCTTGTGCTAAATTCTCAGTTATACTTCGATTCTTCTAAATGCGCTGAGTTAAAGCAAGCCCAGGATGTGTGGCTTAATGGACAGCTGGCTGTAGCGGAAAAACGTAAGTGCAAGCATATAATAGTATTTCAGCACATCCCTCTATTTCTGAGAAAGCCTGATGAAGAAAATGACTATTTCAACCTGGAAAAATCAGTTCGTCAAGAGATAATGGAGAAGTTTCACAAAGCAGGTATTTTCTTGTATTTTTCTATCTCAGAATTTTTGTTTCGGTTTAATTGTTAATGGTCATACTACCAGACCAAATACATTAAACTTGAATTTTCAAGGAATTTTAGATACTGCTCATAAGCCTTGTTGTTCCCCTTAAGTCAAAATTTTCAACTGAGTCTAATCACCTGTCAAAAGTACCAAAAAAAAAATAGCAACTTTGAGTGTAAAGTGAAAAACTAGAAGTGAAGAACTCTGTAAAATAAATAGCAAGGATTCCATTTCACAAGTGTTCATAGATAGAAGACAATCTGATTTTTTTCCTGCTTAAGGACTGGAAGATCAGGTATTGCCATGGGAAAAAAATAAAGAATTTATGTTTTACGCAAACAGAGAAACAGAATTCAGAATTGCCTTCGAGGTTGTTTTCTCCCACACTGAGCCAATTTTAAACCCAGAGTGTAATGTACTCCAGATTTATTCAATGTTAAAAAGGGTCTTGTTCTGCGAAGATCAATCCTTTGTTTATCCATTACTTATAGGGGCCATTTCTGGGAGGAAAAGCAGATAGAACATGCTCTTAAATAAGCATATTGTACCAAGTCTCTTAGCTTTATTTGATGAAACTTGAATACCATGGAGACACATGCAGTAAGCAACTGCTCTTCCATGCTATTCCCATTGTTTCCTATTAATTGCTTTCATGCTCGTGGAGCGTGCTAGTCCCTCAGAATTTCCTGCCATCTCTGCATCAGAGTACCATTTTTTTCTTTCTCTATAAAAGAGCATGTTATTTGGATTACTGAACAATGGAAATTGTTTCTGATACTGTTCCTAATTTCCCATATAATTGTTACGCCTGGCCTCATCCAAAACCAGCCTGATCCAAACTCCGGATCGCCTCCTGTTTCCAGTAAGTAGGGCCAAAATTCACAGTTATCTGGGGGGTTTTCCAGAGGACTGACGTATTTGCAGATTCAAGATTTATAGATTTTTTTCCCATCAGTCTTGGAGACATGCTGAGAAGACCTCATAATATCTTAATATGAGATATAAAGGTGTTATTTTTAGACACTAAGAGGATCTTAGTTAGGAATTTTGGCTTTGTTATAACAGAAGGAAATTTTTTATTTAAAGAGAAACAGTAGGATTGTATTCTTATACAGGGAATAAAGTAACAACATTTAAAAAAGGAGGAAAGAGATCTGAAGATAACATAATTTGAGATATGTATGTATGTAAGCTAGGTGCATGTTACTACATCTTAAATCAATCAGTCTGTGCTTTACGCATTTTTCTTGTCTCTCTGTATACATTTAATGTGTGCTTGTTGTAAGGTTTGGAATTTTTTTTTTATCGTAAGTGCTCAAAGCAGTGATTTCTCAGGTGTTACTCCCAAATTTTGCATAATGTTATATGATTAATAAAAATGACAAATCAAAGGAACCCATACAATACGAAACTTTTCAGAAAATAATAATCCCTCTGTGATAGCTGGTCATTTTATGTATTTTCATTGTAAGTTTGAAAAAGAAAACATTATCTGCTTTGACATTTTGCTTTGAAAAGATTTACTTGACAGATAAAGGCCCAAAATTTAATAGATCTGATTTAAAATATTCTACTCTTCATTTTTGAACTTTTCCTAAGAAAAAGAAAAATGTACCTACCTGTTTATGGTCTTTTTTTTTTTAATTTTAGTGCTAGTGTTAATATTTAGTGGGAAATATTTTTATCGGCAAGTCAGGCAGCTACATGCTTATGCATTGTTGGCTGAAAAATACATCCTAGTGTGTTAGACAACTATTTACAGAACGAAGCTGCCATATAGTTGTATCCCAGTAAATACGCATTAATGTGGAAACCACAGCAGTTCTGTCCTGGAGTTTTCTGTCAGCCAAACGGTTTACTAACATTTGGCACCATTGACTACTGGGGAGATAATTAAGAGAGAAAAGGAATTGTGTAAGATGTTATCACGGTAGTTGGTAAGTGATTCTATGTTAGGCACTAACATTGAGTCCCACTGGACAATGCTTTAGTTCATCAGAATGCATCACATAACTTTCTTCTGCCACTGAAGTAGACTTTGTGTAGACTGAAACTTTTATCAGTATAAAATGGTGAGTCATATTTTTCTGGCTAGCTTCATAAAACTGTCTTTTCTGATGGTTTATGGAGATAGTTAATTTAAAATACACTAGTGTGCAATGCATTTGTTTCCATGTTTAAACTTAATGCAGACTGGCTTTCTCAATACTTATTTTCTTAGAGGGATTATTTCAGATTCATTCTGCTAATGTAGATCCAGAGGCTTAGTCAAAAGATAAAACCTGTAACAGGCTACTTGATGAGGCTTTAAATGATGGATGGTGGGCAGAATGGGAAGCCAGTAATACAAGACAACTCTAATGAACAAATTTCCAAGCTCCTTTTTGTGCCAGCATCCCATTCTTACAGTGCCCCCATTATTTCCCATTGTGCCCCTCTTTCCCAACCCTCAAAATCCTCCAAAAATGACATATGTTTTTTGGTTCCTTCATGAATATTTTAAAACATCAATCTTTTATTTATTATTTTACACAATAAGTAAATGATTCAATAAGTAATATCCACAATCCAACAAATCAAGCGTTTTGCTAATTAAATGAATACAAAGAGCAAGCAGCTCAAAACAGTATAACTAAGAATGCTGAGAAAAATTAGTTGAATCAAAAGTTGGCTCAGAGTTTCCTTGGTAACAGATGCGTTCTGTTTCCATTTTTTATTCATTTGGAGAATGGTCTTTGTAAGTCCACAAAATGTTGTCCACAGATTACAAACAGGCAGTTATCATGGTAGGATAGATGCACAGATAGGCAATGACACCAATTATTTTCTGTCTCTCTGCTTTGCCAAAGACTAATCAATGTCAGCGTATCATTAGACATGAAATTGGTTTTCCTCCACTTCAACTGATAAATTCATGGAGGATTAAAACACAGAAAACTGGCAATGAAATCCCAATCTACTTTACTCTTTTTTTTTTTTTTTTTTAATTGTGACTTCCACTTTAAGGTGGTTACCCCTCATTTATTCTGGAAAAAGTAAGTAAGAAAGTAAGTCTCCTTTTTAATGAATCTTCCAGACTGGATTCTCCTTCTCCACCTCATCAGTCCTTCCTTCTTTTTACTCCTTCTCTCCACCTCTCCCTTTCTATTCTGGCATAATTCTGTTCTGCAGTATTTCCAGCCACTCCATACGATTGTGTAATTATGAAAAATTTCAGTTTAATGTGCATACTTTAGGGATGGTTGTGTTTGGAAATGAGGCTAATAGATGGGCCTGATATTTCTGTTGCCAATAAACCAAAATCAGACCTGAAACTATCCCCGTTTTCATGTTTATATGTTTCTAAAAGTATCAAATACAGAGCCATCACTCATCTGACTAGAGGAAAATGGGAAAGGAGGACAATATATTAATTTAGTTCTTCTGTAAACAAAGAAATACACAGGGATATAGGTAGGAAATAATGAGATCCTTAAGTATTATAATGTTGCATGGATGCTTTAGAGTGAAATATGTAACTTTAGAAAATGTGATATCTATTTTAAGTTAAAAATGCGTAGTTATTCTCTTACAAACAGATACAGATTACATAATGTTTTTCGTTTAAGTATCCGCTCATTTCAAGCAGAGATAAAGACTAACTGTAGAGGCCACATCTGTTATGAAATATTGGATTACATTTCTCACATTAGAAGTGTCCTTAACAGTTGGGCTAATTAAAGATATTATCATGTTCTTATGATAAATATTTATAAATTGAAAATCTGGCACTTGTAAATATGTATTCCTACTATGCAAAGTTAAACCATACTAGTGAGCTGTACATCTAAGAAATCCTCCTGTGATTCTTCTTTAAATACATTCATTATACACAATATTGATCTGGAAAAAGTGATTCTATTGACAGTGAAAATCAACTCACTTCAGAACACTGTTTATCATTTAAGTGAATATATGTTTCTGAAAGCATATCTGTTAAACTTTTGAAACCTCTGAAAACTGTTTTCAAAGGTTTGCCTCCTTTACATGCGGAAGCTAAGTACAGGAAAAAAAAAACCTATGTGCAAAAACTGAGAATGAGCTGACCTAACGTTCTCATCTGTGAGATCTGTTGGAGTCAATCGATTCTGCGTGAAATGCATATTCAGCTTTTAAGAATTTTATGGTACTGATATAAATAGATTTCAATACAGCTTTGCATGGAAAAATAAAGAACCTGGCTAGTGGTCGAGGCAAAAATGTGATCCGCACATCATGTTTCTTGGATAAATGTAATTAATTTTTAAATTAAGCAGTCTATGTTAAAGGAGAAACACTTTTTCATATATATCTCATTCATGTATAATTTTCCTAGATTAGTACAGATATTTTCTGTGACCTGAAAAATGTAGGCATTTTTGCTGAGCTACAGAAAGATTTTACTTTGTCCTGAGAACCACTACTGACAGGCTGAAATTAATGACACTTAGCACTTAATATAGTAATAAGTGTTTCTTAATGACCCTAATATATAAGCAAATGTCTGAACATATTTAAGAGCTTTGCTGAATAAAACCTAAATTAGTATCTGGTTTTCCAGCAACAAAGTGAGAGAAGAATTTGTTGTTCAGAATGATATGACAAATGCAGGTGGTTTATCTAGGTAAGAGGCAATTTTTCAGATGTGGCAATATTTAAGTATTTATATTTAAGTATTTTTTATATTTAAGTATATTTAAGTATTTATATTTATATTTAAGTTTGTGTATACAGGAAAAAATAACAACCTAACTTTATTAAATGGCATTATTTTTCACTGTTCGTGATTGTAGATGCTGTAACTTCTAACAACCTTTGCTTATTAAAAGGATGTGATACCTACCAACTCCCCTTAGAAACGTTATAACAGGAAAGCAGAATTAAAGGGAAAATAAACTTTCTGAATATTAACAGCTTGAGATAAATAAATATTTGAGTACAAAACTTAAAGCAGGGTCTGAAAACTGCTGTTTCTAAAACTTACCAGACAACATACACTGCTTCATTATTTAATTGTCGTGTAATTTATTTATTGTCGTGTAATCAAAATTGACAAGGGAGTAATATTTTCCTTCTTCCTATCACTGAGACCCCAATTTTGGCAAAGCTCTTACACCAAGTGAGTAATCTCAGTGCTTGTTTATGTGTTGCTTTCTCGGTATTTAAGATAATACAGATTTAAATACCCTGAACTTTAGTGTTTAGATCAAAATCTTTTAACCTTGAAATTATGCACTCACGTACAAGTAGAGTGACCAAATTTAATATTTTCTACGTAATTTTATAAGAACAGTGTTTTTGAAGACTGTTCCCTAGGTGTGATAATAAAATTGCGCATGTAGGCACACACACACACCAACACTTACTATGATTTCCTATATCATATCCCTTTTTTTCCAGAAATTCAATAGCAAGACAGTACTACATACATTTATTTAATAGAATCTATAATGAAATTAAGTAATATTTGTTTTCTTCACTGTGCTGTAGTTTTAGTAGATAAAAAATATGTATTTTTTGATCCTTGGCGCACATGGCAAGACAGGATTGTTGTGGTTTCGTCAGGCCTCTCAGAAAGCTTCTTTTTAAATGGAAAAAGTAACTAAGCGAAACCAGGAAACCGTCTGAAAGGTCGTAAGAGGCATTCACAAAGATTAACTTTAAACATAGAGTGGCCTTCTCCAGATAGCACCTCTAAAGATTTATTTAGACCAGCAGTTTAATTAGACTATCTACACACTCCGGTGGTGCCTGTCATCTTTCCTCTGATTGTATAGGAAAAACAAATGAGACTAAGCTCTTGCTCCATATATCTGCACTTAGTGTCCTCATACAGTAAATATTTTTGACATAACTTTGCAGACTAATAGCTTGTCTTCTACTTGTTCAGACTCCCTGACTTCACTAGCTGTATCGAGCCCTCAGTTCTTTCATTTATACAGTGCATTTAAAGAAGAGTTTGCCTTTAAGTCTGTGGAATCATGTTTATTAATAACAGTGCACATGGTATTTTTTGTATTAACATGCTCACAGTTTGCAGTTATTCTAAATTCTCGTAGCTCTTCTGATGAAGAAGGTAAGGCAATATGGTGCTTCTAAAGGGGTACACAAAACAATTCTGTCATGTTGTTGTTTAAGGTAGACTCAAGCGGTTACAAAATTAAAGGTGTTCACTCCATTCACTTCTCAGTGAGACTATTTCCTTCTACCGGCATCCTGGTGCTAGAAATGGGTCAGGTTTATTTTTTAGCGAACAGGGTCTGAGAACTGCCTGAGCACTGTATAGGCCTGTTAATAGCACTGTGACTGATGGCTTCACATCTTTGTTTGCTGCTGTAACACCTGCTTGGTAGATGGAGTGATGTGAGCACTCCTCAAACTATAATGAGCGAAAAATCAATTTTATTCCACAAGAGAGGTTTTGCTTACAAAGATCACTAAATACTATGATTTGCTGTGTAGTGCTGGACTCTTGGAAAAAAAAAAAAAAAGATGTACACCACTGGGCGCAGGGAAAACAAAGCTATGGCAAACAGTGCCCATGGTTAATACGTGCTCTTGCACTGGGAGCTGGCAGAGTATCAGTTTGATGCACAAAATTGTTTTTGAGAATAGCTATTACTGCTGAGTTTTAAAAAGCTGATGTATGCTGGAAGTGAAAGGAAGAAGAAAAGTCAGGTTGTATCTAATACTCCAAGAACAATTTGTCACAGGCCAGCCGTGTCTTAAATGGTTGTATTTGCCAGAAAACATCTCCTCTTTGGGAGGGAGGGTGGGTGGGTATGCACACATGCACGCACTCGCACACACAGTCTCTTAGCGTAGCATCTCTCTGTGCCTGAATACTACTTTATTTTCTTGTGCTGCCTATGAAAAGGGTACCAAAGGGTGTTAACATGCAAGTTTTTCACTCAGTACAGTTTATTTGCTTTACCGAACTGCTTCTCCATCTATTTAATTTCATTTTTGGCGCTACTGCTGTTCTTATCTAGCTTTAGCTAGTTTGGGGACAAAAATATATATAGCACTAGCTTTTGCTAGTATAGTTTTTGCTTTTCTTCAGTCCTTGATTGAGCAAGAGGTATGGCCAGTGATACCAGTGATTTTTTTTTTTTTAATAAGCACAGTTCTACTTTAAATGCAACCTAATTTTATCATTAAATAAAAGAAGTAGTTACCATAAAAGCAGAGTAACTAAACCAGAATGAAGATCTCTGTAGCCCACTCTACTGCTTCTATTAGCAGAACCCTAGGGAAGAGCAGAAGACAGCAAAGCATGTAATGATATTTCTTCGAAATACTCTTCCAGTCTCCAACAATGTGTCTTTCAGGGTCTTACTGAACCATATTAATGTTATTAATATACTGCTATTTAATAATGAATTATTTTATGGATTTGTCCAGTTCATTTTTGATTTTTGAAAACTCTCACCTTTCACAATGGTCCGTGGAAAGGAATTTCAAGTTTCACAGTTTGTGTTATGTGAAGAAAAAAAAATCCTTTATTTTGCCTTGAACTTTACCTGTGATTTGTACTGAGAGGCATAAATCTGTAAATGAAATGCAGTGAACATTGGTTCATGTTGATAGTTATTTAAAAAAAAAAAAAAGAGAGAGTTCATTAATCAACACTTACAGAGTGATAATCTGGATCAGGTGATAAATTTCATTGCTCAGTCAGAACTATTATTTTTTTCCCCAAATTTTCTACAGAGTTCATGGGAAGAGAAGAAGGGTCTGTACTGTACGCATTACATATTTATTATGTCATTCATATTCCACTAATTTAGCCTTCTTCATTCTCTTACAGTCTCATTTGCTGAGAAAAGCATTTATTTAATTGAAGGCTCAGTCTAAATAAAGCATGCTACTGATTGCCTATGCTGATTATTCCAGGCATTCTCTTTCTAATTTGGAAAATCTGCTTGCTTTTCTGAGGTTTATTTTTATATTTGTAATTGTCTTCCTATATTTTCACACCATCCATAGCACTGGATTAAACAGTCCAAATTGAGGCTAGGCCAGTCACATTTTGGACACAGAAAATCTGACCAAAAATGGGTTTTTTTTGTACATTAGGAACTAGAGTTGGAAAACAACTTCTTCTGAATTAGAATTTTTTGGAAGCAAACCATGGAAGTGAGCTTAATTACAGAAATTAGAGTCAGACACCCTTGGAATTTAAAGTAGTTCAAGTCTGAATTCTTGCCCAGTCTCATCTGTTTGTGTGAGAAAAACTGTTTTCCAAGTATGTGTTTTCTTAAGAACTAACTTCTAATATTTCAAAATAAATGGAGATGCATTATTTTCCATATGTTTTTAACCTGTTTGGAACTCTGTAATCATTGCATCTAATTTCCTTTGAGACTGGGACTCAATCCATATTTCTTGAATTAACTTCAATTATCAAACCTCAGATAATGGTTTTAAAAAAATAATAAAGCTTACAGGATTTTACAAGTTTGGAAAAACAGATGTACTTCACAAAAATCTTACTGTCTCCTTGGAGATTTTTTTTTTTCCTCTTTTTGTTACCTAGTCTTGTATTTAGGGAGGTACTATTTCTGATCACTCAGCTCTCACTAATATTGCCATATACAAAGTTATGCTATACTACTTTTATTCCTGCAAGCTATTGAGCTCTGCCACTGTAAGACTTCAGCCTGTCAGAAGCTAGAGACCTTGGACAGAATTCACAATTTGGTGGAGGACATCTTGCCACTAAAACGTGAGTGTCTCCTTCCCATTGATACTGAAATCCCTGTAGGCAGCCAGTTGATGCTTATGGCAATACTTCAATAGTGTCAGCTTTCTGAGAGTACTTCCAAAGCGCATGTTTGATTTTTTTTTCTTTTTTTTTTAAATCAGGGTATTTGAAAACACATGCAATCCTATGCATACCGATTGTTAGCGCTGCCAGATTCAGGTATTGTCTGATTATCCAGAACGCCCCTACATAGCTGTACTTCTGATTTTCTAAGAATGAGTTCCCTAACAGGGAAAGCACCATGGGCTACCTCCTGCACTCACACAGGAAATCCTTGGTTTAAAGCATGGCTGTAATGTAGTCTTGTAGGAATCTCTCCCCTCAATCTTGCCTTAATGGGGAAAGAGAGAAGCCCAGCCACTGCATGCCTAACAATATCCACGTTTATGTGGTAAAGTAGATGAACACGGCGAAAAGGAAGACAATACGAATTTTTTAAAAAATCACGTTACATTTCAGTGGAATAATGTTATGTAATATAGCTGTATAAACCTGTATAAACTAAAGCAAAAGGAGTGCAAACATAGCATTTAGTTTTTAAACTAGAGATATTTTAAAATTAGAATAAACTATTCCTTAAACCGACAGGTTTAAGAAAGTGACTGTTGGTCCACATGGAAGGAGGTAGGCCATGGTCCCATTTCCTCCCTGCTCTGAACAGAGCTGGAGGAACGCCCAATCTTACGTGGTCTTGCATTTCTCTTACTAAGTAACAGAATGTAATAGCAGTACAGTACTAAGTAAGGGAGAAAAGTCCAGGAATTATGGGAGCGCAACTGAACAATAAGGTAGGACTGGGCTGTAATCACTCTCATAGGAATTATACGTGACACACAGCTAAATGCCTTTGTTCTCGTACAGTGCAATTATGTCAAAATCATGCTGACCCCTTTTCCCTGCTGCTGCAAAATTGTTCAGAAGAGTTTCTCAGAATGATAAGGTATAATTTGAGGAAAGAAGATGCTGCAGTTTTAAAATTCTGTAAAATAACCTTAGTTTCTCTAACAGACAAACTGACTTATTTTTGCTATTCAGCTTGTAGTTTCCATTCCGATAATGAACCATTTTCTCATCTGATTCTTGTCAGCATGCTAACAACACTGGGATAGCTAAAGGGTTTTGTTGGTTTTTTTTGAATTTTTCAAAAATCTGGTCTTGTTATTTGTGCATTTCTTCAGAATGTAATCTGAGTTTTGTTTAAAATGCTCTTTTCATAGTATCACCTGAAAGAGATGGAGAATATTTCATATAGGACACAGTTTCTTTTAGAACATTAGCCTGCTTTGGATGGTTTTGGGATTCAGAAGTACTAGAAAGTGTTCATCACTACAAAGGATAATCTCTTCCAAAGCAGAACTACTGCAGTGTATTTGGACACGACAGTAGTATACATAATTTGCTCCTGAGCCTGGCAGTCATAGCCTTCCTTTTCTGTACCAAACTTCTTTGAAGGACCTAAAGCAAATTTCAGTTATACATTTATACCTCCTTCCCCAGCAGGTCAGTCAGATAGATAGTTTAACAGTATCCAGTATACCATCTCTGTAAGAAAAGCCCTTTTTAATACAACCTGCATTGGGTTTTGGGTTACAAAGATTGAAGAGAGTGCCAGGAGAAAAAGAGAAAAATGGGAAACGCTGATAAAAACTGTCCACCTTACCAAAGCTGTTGAACAACCTCTCATTCACTGATTTTTATCATTCAGCGTTTAAGTTCCTGTAATGACTACTTATTTGGCATGTTGGCTTTAGAAAGTAGACTCTGGAAACAGTAGAGGAGAAAAAAAACTGAGTATTTTCAAATTTGCTGTGAAATAGCTATACAACAGAAACCGCGAAGAAAGTATTTTTACCATATTTTTGACATGGAAAGTGTGTCGAAATTAAGATATGACTTTTGTTTGAAATTTGAGGGGAAAAGGTGACTTGTGTTTTAAAGGTACTGTTTATGAATGAACAGACAGATAGCTGAATTTCCTCAGCACCCTTACCTGGTGCGTTATCTAAGCCACTTTGTAACCTTACAATCAAAAAGGATGTCTGAAGTGACAAAATGCAATGTATACATTAGATTAGCATAAAAACAAACTATTAACTTGCTTCATGGTCAAGGAAATGAAGAGTCTAAGGTTTATCAACATTTTTAAGTATTACATCTCTTCAGATGACATTTATTTACACATACAAAAGATGTATGAAATACTCAAAAAGTATCAAAGATTTGACCATCTGTTATTTCAGAAATCAAGAATTAAAAACAAATCACTGCTCTGGCTACTTTTTATAAGTAGGGACTGTATCTTTTTGTGTATAGCCGAATGTACTGAATTTAACTGCATTTAACTGACCCAAGCAAACCTTAAAGTAGGTTATTAATAGTGCCTGCAAGGACAAACACTGTTTATTTCTCACAGGGTTTAGAAAAAAGCGATTGGGAGGGGTACTAACAATTTGACAGTATTACTTCAGAAAAACATTTGAAATGAATAAATTAAGTTTGAGTGCACACATCTTAAGATTCTTTTTATGTTTAAGATCAAAAGAAAAGCAAAGTAAATTGCCTGCTTGTCATCTTAGTATTATTGCATTGGCTGGTTCAGATTTCCTTCTTATGCTAACTAACAAAACTAAGTGGAATGCAGTTGAGTGAATAAAAAAGTATTAGTAAAGGAAAAAAACAACATCTGTTACACTTTGTATTAATACAAAGCAGTGACCTGTTTCTTTGTTCAAGATGTAATATATTGTAGCAGAACAGTAACAGAAATTAACACTAGCACTGGAAATAGAAAGTAACTGAAAACTGAAGTCTGGGCAAAATTTGCACTGGGCGATACCTAAAGTAGATACTAAATTCTAGCAGAGGCTGATCTTAAGCGGCTAGATTCAAAAAGGCATTCCATCACTGAGCACCCGTCTAGCAGGCATTAGGAGCTAAATGACGTATACTACAAGGGGAATTTGGGTGAACAGCATCCATAAACACCAGCTACTTTAGAACAAATCTGCCTCACATAGCCAACAGGATATACAGAAGAGGGTTTAAATCACATCCTCTCTGGTCTGAGGTATCATATTTTGGTCTGCTTAGACATCACTCTTATTTTAGTTCTGTACCAAAATAACTTCTTGAGTGTAGGCAGTTAGCAGATGTTAAACATAATTATGGTAAAGTTGCAGTATTTGCCCAAGAAGAAAGAAGCTGCATGATTCATGGGCCTTAACTTTCTACCTGGTGTCTGCTGTTTTTTAGGCTAAAAGGTTGCTGAGTCTAGGATGGGTTCCTCAAAAATCTTCTTTTGAATCCTGAAAAACAGGGAGATTTTTGTTTTTCTTCTAGCATAACTAAAGTTGCTGTATTACTTTTGTATTCTCTATTGCTTTCCTTCCAGTTACACTGAAATTCTCTTTTGGGGTTTGGTTTACATATGTGGTGACACAAAGTCTTGACTTTTGTTCCTCTTTTTAATTCCAAAGATTAAATTCTGTGAATGCTGGAAAGATGTTACTTTAGAAACCCTAATGCTTCTGGTAAAAAGAAACAGCACTAAGGACTTATTTGCCTTACTAACGGAGAGTATTACCTGGGGTTTCATCTCACTATAGTTTTATGGTTGTTACTTTATTTTTTTTTAAAGTTTTTTCACATACTACAATAGCTTTGCTTATCTGCAGAAGAAGTGGACAATATTGAAAAGAACTTACGTTATTATAGTAGCACTGTCACTTACTGGAAGGTAGCACGGATATTTTACACATCCAGCTGGTATAGTAATAAAGCAGGCCAAACAATAGGTGCCTAAAAGATGGATTGCTGGTATCTTCATTTAACTGCCAATTAAGATTCTGTAGGTAAAGAATAAGATACAATAAGGTCCCATGCTAGGTGTTTGCTTGAGAGTGGAGTCTAGAACACTGCTGGAGATCATAGGTTCCTTGTCTAGTGCTTGAAGAAGAGCAAAGTGCTACACCCGTGGGCCCATCAGAGCCAGCTGAGGGCAAACTGGTAACACTAAGCATAGGGTGTCATATGTCTGCCCCACAAGCAAGCACCTTATTCAGAGGCTGCAATAAGCAGCTCCATCTACTCAGCATCCTCTCCTACCTGATCAAGACTTGTTTGTTTAAGTGCGTTGCTACAGAGGAAGATGCATCCCACTTCAGCAACTGGGACTGTCATACATAAAGCTCCCCCTAAGTAAGTTCAGTTTTGTGCTCTGTTTTGGGAAGTAAGAGACGAGAATGCCGGCTACCACCCCCATAAGCAGGTCTAGATGGGCACTTGCCCGTCGCTGTGCAGAAAGGAATGTAAGAATCACTGGGGGCAAACACAGCCTAGTGATTTGGGTATGTGTGTTTATAATGAGGAAGAAAGAAATGCTGAGTTCTGCTGCCAGAATTGCTTAAGTATATTACATTAAGCAGTCACTGCAATAGCCTGCAAGATGGTAGGGAGCTAGAACTGACTCCCCATTCTCAAATTACCTGTAGCATCAGTTGTAAAACATCCTTATGTTATGATTCCACGGATCCGAGTAGTATCTAAAAAGCATAAGATCTTTATGAAGAGTCCATTATGTCACAGGACTTTTGTATTCTACCATTCTTTTGAAGTATTCTGATTGATCTTCTCCCAGGGAAGAAGAACTAAGAATGTTTTGCTAGGATACTGCAGCTGAATCAAAGTAATCGTCTCTTTTATTATGCTGAATTGCAAATTTAATTTTTGCACCAGAAAGGTGAGTATGTTGCACGGAGCAAAGAGAATTCGTACTGATAAACTAAATAGGATGACTTTCATAAGTATAGAAAAGTTCCAGTGGAGAATAACCTTCATGTGCCACTAAGACATGTTATTTCATTCTGTTTTCTACTTTCAATCATTTGCTATTTACATAAAGGTTAGGATTGTGCCATATCAGTATCTCTGTAGATTTTACCAAGCACACAGCAGAGTATTTTATATTTTGATTTTCCAAGCTGCTTAACTATTAACTATAGCCTATAGTTGAGCCTAGGTTGAACCTACACAATTTTTTTTGTCAGCACTTTGAAGATTTTACAGCAATCTTCAAATCAGTATCTCACATGAAAGCAAAGGAAAGCATTGATGTAGCTGACTGTCTTCAGACAGCTTCACTTGCTTTCCTCTTAATTCAATTGCTGTGAAAGAGGTCTAAATCCATGGTAGGAGGAAGGACGAAAGGTTTTCTGGCTAGGGAAATAAGGATTTCCTTGTGAAGTTATAGGTGTGTTCCTAACAACAGCTCTTTGCCTTTAAATTGCCTCTGCTGTTACCCAGAGTTTCTGCTATCTGAAGGTAAAAATCAATTGTTGTTAGAATTTTTTTTATGTCTTTTAAGCCTACAGCATCTCACAAACTATCCCTTCTCAGGGACTCTTCTTAATCAGGTATCACAGTCACATACCCTTCTATTTGGCTTTACAATGCAAGGCTGGCAGGTGGAGCAGTACTACTGGCCATCTAGGCAGCTCACTACCCAAACTGTCCAATCTGTCAGTAAACACGACCATAGATTGATCCAATCTACAAAATGCAAGCAATGCATATCCACATTTAGAGAAAAGTCCCAGGGATTATTTAATGCATCTTACAGAAACCACCACCACTGTGGAAAAAGTGACGGAACCAATACTTGGAGACGGACTCTGGCAACAACAGGGATTTACTGTAGGCAATAACTAGAGTAATCACCCTATTACTACCGAAATTCCTGTGTCATGCGGAGGAATTAGGGGAGGCAGTGCAACACAGCCAGTGACAAGGTCCTTGGTAGCAAGACCAGATTCACTGCCATTTTTCCTTCAAAGACTGGGTTACTTTACATCATAGTTTTTTAAAACTCTTTTCTACTCCTTAGGGAAGGCTTTCAGAAACAAACAAATGTGTGTAATGTGGGGAGATCCTTCTTTCATATAGGTGAGAAGAATTAGAGGCTTTTTAAGGAAACCAGAATTTCCCAGTCTTCCTGTATGCAAATATTACATAGCAAAAATCTCGCATGGCTGGATACGATAATACATACCACATGTCTCAGAGAGGGTAGCGGGCATCTTCCAGGCAGTCAGCAGCAGCAGATGACAGTGGCTCCTCAGAACGCCAGTTATTTCACCAGTACCAGCAGCTCTCAAACTCCATTGGCTGTGAATACACTATGAAAACAAAGTGAGAGCCTGTGGGTTTGAAGGGCCAAAGAACTGGAAATCATTTCTCCTGCATCAGGTTAACACAGGCTGCTTTCTACTGTGCTGTTAGGCTCTTGGTATTAGATGTGGGAATTGGAAAGGTAATTTCGTTATAAGTGGCTGAGTATTTAAGACTAGCTTTAGCCTAGTGTGGTGAGCAAGACCCTCACTGTGTGCTGAAAGAAAGAATGCCATCGGGGAACACCAGTAGCTAGCAATTGTCCACGTGTACCCTGAGTGTGACTAAACCTTCACTTTTCCATGCTACCCTACTCAGGAACAGCCACATATTTAGAGTTTTGTTTTGTTAGTTTATTTTTTCAATATGATTATGTTTAGCAAGGTACAGCACTTACAGATTATTCCAGCAAAATATATCTCTATTATAACACAACAGTTTTTCAGCCAACCTAGCAAACTGTATGGGCCCACTTCCACTCCTAATAGGAAAGACTCAGTTTCAGGAAATAGTCGGTGACCTTTGATTACCTGCTGGCCATCTAGTCATATTTGTCAGAGGATACTTGGTGTGTTTTTTGAGTAACTAAGTATTAACCTAAAATATTTCCAGATGCTTATGCAGAACCATCAAAGTGCCTACATGACTGAGGAGCACATAACCTATTGAATTTAAATAGAAAAAAATACTTGTAAATCATGTAGGTACTTTTGAAAATACCACTCTCCTTAATTTTTCAACTGTCATTAAGGGTTAGGACACTATATCCTAAATCAACAGCAGAGTGTAGCAATTTAAGATATAAAATTCATTCACATGCTTTGTATTTGATAATAAATAACACAATTTCCAGTATTTTCAGCTATCAGATCCAGTAGTTTTTCTATCTCAGAACAGTGTGAAATAGGAATACATGTGGCCTCAGGAAGCTGTGAGTCTGACATACAAGGCTCTTAGACTGAGCATAGGAAAAAAAAAAGAAAAGAAAAACTTTGTAAAATTTACTATTTATGCTTACCTCACATTTTTCATTTCCCATTTACATAAAGTGATTTGCACTATATTTGAAAGCAATATACATTACCAATAATAAGCTGCAGAACTGCCTTTCTGTTTAATTTATTATAACATGCATTTGTAAAGAAAAAAAATCAGATCTTGCCCAAATAGCTTACCGCAAATACCTATACTAGGATTTTCAGATTTTCTAAGTTACCATTCAACTTACTTGCCTTTTGGGTAGTCCGAGCAAACAGAATAATATGAATGGTCTTAAAAGAATTTTAGAAACATTTCCAGAAGCATGTTAAGAACTGCTCTCACTTACAGATGGATGTTCCTATCAAAATAAATGTGTCTGTCTATTAGAAAATAATTCAGTCAAGGATTTCAAAGTACTTTATAAAGCCTTAAATATAAAGTGTGCTTGTTTCCTTTACCTGCTACTGGTTATTGTTTAGCTTTTCTCCTACTCCTAACCAATCTTGGATGATATCTTGGATGATACTTGCATGCTACCTACCCAGAATTTTTTGATGCGACATACGGCTGTTTTCTGCAACAGATCGAAAGTATTTCTTTCAAGTTCATAATAACTTTCCCTCAATACAGTTCAAGATACAAATGATTTAAAACAAAACAAAACAAAACAAAAAGCCTTAAATCATTTAAGAATACCAAAAAATTCAGAACAAAACAGCCTTGTTTGTATCCCATACTAGGTAAATATTAATTCATATGATTACCGTTCTTAGCTCTTCTTGCAGCCTGTCAACCTTTCCCTTCTTGGTTATTCTCATCTTTCTTCTCCTCTTATAATCATGCACAGCCTCTCAGTTTATAAGGTTTCTTTGACGTGCTTGGCTTATTTTCTCATTCCAGGTATCATCTGTGCCATACCCCCAGTATCTCTGCAGAACATATTACAAATTATCTTCTCAACTATGTCTGTTTGTTTTGACTTTTTTTAAGGTCACCAGCCTTGGGTAAACAGGTTTAAGCTCTCCTTAATTTTCTCCATGTTAATTGACAAATACAGCTATAGGATGCTTGCCTTTAAACTCGTCTTTCAGAAGCACCATTCTTTAGCCAGTTATTTATTACTATTTTGTTTTTAATGTCAAACTTAATACTTAATTTTTAATTTCATACTGTATAAATCATTAAGAAAATGAAGGAAAACACCTGTAGCTGTAGCTTGCTAGAGAATTTTCTCTACAACCCTCGGTAGCTGCGTAAGCCTTGGCATATAACCTAAACAGTGTCTTCTAGTGTAAATACATTTTATACATAACCTGCAACTGCCAACTAAATACATACTTGCTTGTTTGTTTGTTTTAAAACAGGCGTTAAAGCTGTGTTTTCTGGACATTACCACAGGAATGCTGGAGGGTCCTACAGAGGACTGGAAATGGTGGTTTCATCAGCAATAGGATGTCAGCTGGGAGAAGATGAGCATGGGCTTAGAGTGGTTGTTGTCACAGCTGAAAAGATTGTTCATAGATATTACAGTTTAAATGAACTGAGCAGCCAAGGAATAGATAAAGATCTGGTGGATATGCTTGCTAAGCAAAATTAGGCTATATCAAATCCCTTTTAACTCAAGTGGTGGATGTGGTTTTTTCCCACATTAAACGAATAGAAATATTCAGAAGTTTCCAGAAGCTGAAGGTACACATTTCTCATTATGCATCATGCCCCAAACCAACTATTTGTTTAAATCCTAAATAACAAAACAAGAAAGCTTTTAAAGTGTTTCCCTTTTAGAAAATGAGACCTCTGAGTAAATGGAAAAATAAAGGAACGAATATGGTAATGCATCTTTGAAAAGGACTGTCCTAAGATTTTTTTACTCTGCTCCTGGACTTTCTTATGAGAGAGGAACTGTATCCAGGAATGAGAGTAGTTGCTTCTAAATAACCCTGCAACTCAAGTCTGTATTAATTCGATATTTAAGACATTTTAAAATCAGTAAATTAAATCATTTCTGTTTACACTCCGAACAATAAAAATGTGTCATGTTTTTACTCCAGAGGGACAAATCTAAAACTCAGTGAAATCAACAGCTTCCCACTGATTTTTAACAACTTTTGGATCAGACCTTGTTGCCTACAGAGGTCATATTTTCTCCCATTTCACATAATCTCATCTTCTTAGTTCTTCAGAGTCAACAGCAATAAGAGAGCAAACACATTCTGCAAAGTCACAATTTATTTTTTTCGTTATATCCTGATTTTATATTATGAAATGTCTATAAATGAAGCTAATATAGCTGCCTCTGAGAGAAATTAAACATGGAACAATTATTTTCCTTTTGAAATTTAAGCACCATTCAATTAGCATATATTATTGCTCTGTCTTCAAAAGCTGGAATACCTATACAGAAAACTGTCATCAGTAGTCACTTTGTTGAGTCCTAGACAAGTGGAAAGCTTTGATTTTTAAATGTAATTTAAAGTGCCTTGTTGTAATATTATAGCCAATTAATGTTAAATCCTGTAAAAGGTGCATTTTCTTCACTGGAATACATCTAAAAAACAAGTGATGTTAACAAGATGAAGAGAAAAAATCACATTCTAAGTTCATGTGCTGCAAACTGCCTAATTTTGTAGCAAGTGTGTCTGATTTGTTTACTATTGAATTAAAAAAAAAAAAACAACCTGTCTTCATGTAACTAACACATACCTCTTTTTTTTACGTTCAAGTATTTAGCTGAACATATTATAATACCTGTCACAGGTGATCCGGCAATAGAGCTAGCAGAGCTTTACCACCTGAAGATGGACGAACACAAATAGGACTGGGCAAAAAAGTAATGAATCACACACAGCCCCATACCCGACACGCGTGCGTGCATGCCCACACACACACACACACACACACACACACACACAGTCCCTAGAAGATACTACAGGTGTTTAAGTATGGTGAGTGAGGCGATATACTATGCTAAAGCGTTAGTTTCATTACATTTTAGTCACAACAGTTTATCTAAACTTCAACCTTTATTTGTGGGGCTGGTGAAACTCTAAATTCTGTAAAATTTTGGACAGCTGTGTTCTTCAAACAGTGAAACAGCTGTACCTGTAGCTGGACAGGACCAAACATGGCCTACCTTCCCATGCTAATTGCCTCAGCATAGGTCCTGTTTGATTCAAAAGGAAGGAAAAGGATTCTGCTTTAATTCTCCAGCTGGTTTTGCTTAGCTGAATGCTTTCACAGTCTTACTTTCAAGCAAACAGCTGGGAACTGAGAACTACTTTGAAATAGGCAAGTACCCAAATGGTAAGTTCATCACAAGTTAGGCACCCGTTATTTCTAATGCTCTTTCAAAAATCTGACTGTTTGCGTAGATGTCTCTTAAGCCATTGAGTACTTTTAAAATGTGGTCTTAGGTAGCCTGGAGCGTTAATAATCACAGCTAATTAACGGCTTGTTGAAGGATCTGATGCAACTCTGTTTTGTGGAGGGAAGAACGGTCGCTTTATGACCTGTATCTTTTAACTCTGTCAGTTTAAATCTTAGGGCTGAAGTAGTTCACCTGAGCGAGCTGAGAGAATCCAAGCATGGCGTGTTCTCTTTGCTCTGGCACAGGATTGTAAAGCAGAATGTAGAAAACGTTTAAATTGCTTTTTAATATGCCTGTTTTTTAAAGGATATAATTTTAACTGAATGTATGAAGCTTGGGAGAGCCAAACTTAACTTCAGGAGAAAGTCTTTCCGCAAATATGAAGGTGTTAATAGTACTTGCATATAGTGTTCTAAAAAAATGATTTCAGAGGTATGATGTACTAATATAAAAAAAGAAATGCTTTATAAACCTAATGTTATTTCATGGCTTTAAAATAATTCTTTCAAGTTTTGTCCTTTTTTTGTAAATGACATTTTATCATTAGAAATTCTGTGATGTTTTGTCATGAAAGTACCTAAGTACAAATCTGGAGTTCAATTTAAAAAAATAAAGGTTGCTTTATGTCCCAAATATTGCTTTTATTTAGTGATTTCTAAGAATACTTTGTTACATTCATTTTTAAAAATAATACTAGATTTGTCTTTAGTTTGTAGCAAACTAACTAAGCATTTGTCTTTAGTTTGTAGCTAGCTTTGTAAGATAGCAACGTTGCGGGGGGGAGGTGTTGTTCAATACGTGCATTCTCTTCCAGCACAGGACTTTAGGAGCTAACTGCAGTGTTGTGTGGTTACGTATTACACTGCATTCAACCAACACTACTCCCTATTAGGCTTTGATATAA